TATTATTATTTTCTTTTGTGTTTTTTAGTTGCCCATTCGTTGTTTTTTTTTTGTTTTTTTTTTTTGGTTTTTCGAGACAGGGTTTCTCTGTGTAGCCTTGCGCCTTTCCTGGAACTCACTTGGTAGCCCAGGCTGGCCTCAAACTCACAGAGATTCGCCTGCCTCTGCCTCCCAAGTGCTGGGATTAAAGGCGTGCGCCACCATCGCCCGGCTGCCCATTCGTTTTTAAGACAGAATAAGAAAGGGAGTGGATTTGGGTGGGAGGGGAGGTGGGGAGAGCTGGGAGGAGTTTGGGAGAGGGGAAACCATAAGCAGAATATATTGTACAAATCTATTTTCAATTAAAAAAGAGGGATGGCCAGGTGGTGGTGGTGCACACCTTTAATTCCAGCACTCGGGAGGCAGAGCCAGGCAGATCTCTGTGAGTTCGAGGCCAGCCTGGTCTACAGAGTGAGTTCTAGGACAGCCAAGACTACACAAAGAAACCCTGTCATGAAAAACAAAAAACCATCTGTCAAATGATTTTGATTTTGTATAAGTACACTATATAAGGATCAGGAGAGAGAGGTTCCTAAATTTTCAATGGATTGTATTTATATTTTAAAATTTAGTTTGGGGGCTGGAGAGATGGCCACTGGCAGTTCTTCCAGAGGACCTGGGTTTAATTCCCAGCACCCACATGGCAGCTCACAATTGTCTGTGTAACTCCAGCTCCAGGGAATCCAATACTCTTACACAGAGAAACACGCAGGCAAACACCAATGCACATAAAATAAAATAAATAAATCATTTAAAAAATAAAGTTTACTTTGGTACTAAAAGTTTCAATTCAGTAACTCTAATTTTTTTTTTTTTAAGATTTATTTATTTATTATGTATACAGTGTTCTGTCTGCATGCAGGCCTGCAGGCCAGAAGAGGGCACCAGATCTCATTACAGATGGTTGTGAGCCACCATGTGGTTGCTGGGAATTGAACTCAGGACCCCTGGAAGAGCAGTCAGTGCTCTTAACCGCTGAGCCATCTCTCCAGCCCCTCAGTAACTGTAATTTTTAAGGCTCAAAATCTTCACAGGGATAAAGTATCCTACTTTATAAAATCCTAATCTTGTGAGATTTACTAGTTTATTGTAAATTGTTGAAAAAAAAAAGGTAATCAAGGCATCTTTTATATATATTGTCAAAGTTTAGCCTAAAGCAGGCAACTCAAAATAAGTTTAAAAGTAAACTTGTTTACTATAATATTCAAAATTGGGTATATTAAAAAATGGTTATGGTAATTCAATGCTTGAAGAAAATGGGTTAAATTTACAATATACTTGCATGGCAGGGCATCCCTGGGCTCAAGTGGTACCACTTCCCTTGGATGGGACACTGATTCCAGCAGAATAAGCTATATTATAGCCCCTACAGAATGAAGACGCATGGGGAAATAAGACTTGCAAGAGTATGCTTGTCAGGTTCCTATCTCTGGCCGTGTAGGCCAGACCAGGAAAAGCTCCTTATGTTTAGGGAAGATGAATTACTGCTCCTGTCTCACATGGCAGAGTGATGGATTCTCTTGCCCAGTGGAGAATCTTGATAGTCTGCACCCACATCCTTAATGGATCAAGCAAAAAAGAGGGAGGTAGTGATTACTCTGCACTAATGACACACAAGGATGTTGTGAAGAGGGGACCTTGTACATAAGCCTGCCACCTGACTGGTATGGGACTTGCATGCCAGACCCTTCACCAATGCTTCCAATTCTCCTCTTAGCAAAACTAATCACAGGGCCAAGGAGTCAATAACCAGTTGTGTAAGGAGTTCCCAAGAGAGTTTTAATCTAAGACAGAGGCTCTGCCGACCACAGGGCCAGTCAGCAGTATAGATATCATTTAAACACTAAGTTCCAGGTTCAAAGTCGTCCTTAAGCAATGTTGAGTCACAATGAGACCATCTCAAAAATAAAAATATAAAAGCCACATAATGCTAGATATTGTGGAATAGTGGAATATGATTCAAACCTCAGAAAAAGGAATCTGAGGCAGAAGTGGTGAATTTCAGGCTCGCCAGGGCAGCTAAGCTGGATATGGTGATGTATATATGTAACTGCAGCATCTGAGAACTGAAGACAGGAAGGTCAGGCTGCAGAGTCAATATTGGCTACAGAGTTCAAGATCCATCACTCACTATATACTTGGCTCCAACTCATGTCTCTCCTGAATTCAAGCATGTATCTGGCACACCCTGTCACAAGCTTTTACACTTACTGCCCTCTATGTCTGGAGTGTTCTTTTGCCAGAAATCATCAGGACCAGCACTTAGCTCTTTCATGTGAGTCAAGGGTCACTTACAGAATGAGGCTGTTTTTTTTTTTCTTTCCAATTTCAATTTACACTTTTTTTGTTTGTTTGTTTGTTTTTGTTTTTCAAGACAGGTTTTCTCTGTGTAGCTTTGGTGCTGTCCTGGATCTCCCTCTATAGACCAGGCTGGCCTCGAACTCACAGAGATCCTCCTGCCTCTGCCTCCCGAGTGCTGGGATTAAAGGTGTGTGCCACCACCACCACCCGGCTACATTTATTTATTTGTGTGTACACACATGTGCCAGGGTGTAGGTGGAGATCAGAGGAACACTTGTGGGAGTCAGTTTTCTCCTTCTACCACATGGGTCTGGGGGAAGTGAATTCAGGTCATCAGGACAGACAGAAAGCAGCTGTCCCAGCTGGGTCATCTCACCAGCTCTACAGTGAGCTCTTGACACCTTTTCAAAGCTTCCCTGTCACACTTTCACTGCGATGACAAACCAGTCACGGGGGGTGGGGGTGGGGGGGGTGTACTTTAGTGTTGTTGTGACTTATTATTGGCAGTGTGCTAAGAACCTAGGCCTTGTGCACACTAGGCAAAATGCTCTACCTTTAAGCCATGCTTTCACCCCACAAATCTTATGCAGACCCATAATTTAGCCTATAGCTGGCTCTACTGCTTCTAGGCTAGAGCCCAGCAGTATGGTGATATAGACTTGCTCACCTCCTAGAAGCCAGGAAGCAGAGAGGGGTGACGAAGAGGTTAAGATTCCCCGAGATATAAATGGCACTATCCCACCAGCTGGCGGGCCAGGACAGGAAAAGAAAAAAGAGGGGAAGGAAAACACTCATAAGGGCAGCATTTTGTTTCCTGCTGCCAGGACGTAAGCTGTGCCACACCTCCCTACTATTATGGATGAACCCACTGAAGCCACCTGTCCAAGTACAAGCATGGAATAGTAAGATCCAGGAAAGGAGCAAAGCTACACAGAGAAACCCTGTCTCGAAAAACGAAAAAAGAAGCTAAAGTAAAGACATAGCAAATGTTTTTATTTTTTGAGATGAGTAGCTCAGGGTAGCCTGGAACACTGTTACTCTAGGCTAGCCCTGAACTCATGGCCATCCTCCTGCTTTGCCTGCAAGTCCTGAGATTCTAGGTGTTAAGTTACCTGGATAAACAGTGAGTTTGAAAAGCTATTATAGATGGCCAACAACAGGCTTTACTCAATCAATACGTACGGTATGGCAAACAGAGGCCTTTTTTTCACACACACAGGCAGGTAGCATAGAGTGAGCACAAAATGACTTCCACATCAGGTTTTCTATTTAATAAACATTACACAGTGATTAAGTTACTTTAAGTAGTCAGAAAACACACGATCCCATCCTAAATTACTTAACACACACACACACACACACACACACACACACACACACACACACACACACACACACCTAAAAAACAACAACAAAAAACCTCTGAAGTGACTGAAGTTTTAGGGCTGGGAATTGACTCAGAGGTTAAGCACTGGCCACTCCTCCAGAGGACCTGGGATTCAATTCCCAGTACCCACATGGCAACTCATTACATTTCCAGAGGATCTGATGCCCTCTCTTGGCCTCTGAGAGCACCAGGTAAGAACATGGTATGCAAACATACATGCATGCAAAACATCCATCCACATAAAATAAACATGGAGGAAATGAAAAAGTGACCAGACTTTCACAGACTGGAAAGTGAGTTGAGAGGAAGAGGAAAAGGGACAACAATTCTAAGATTTTACTAATCATGTTTTTTATGACGAGAGTATTTTTAAAACCACAAATCTTACTTTGTTACATAATAAAACAACCGCCGGGCGTTGGTGGCGCACGCCTTTAATCCCAGCACTTGGGAGGCAGAGTCAGGCGGATCTCTGTGAGTTCAAGGCTTGCCTGGGCTACCAAGTGAGTTCCAGGAAAAGCGCAAAGCTACACAGAGAAACCCTGTCTCAGAAAAAAACAAAACAAACAAACAAAAAAAAAACCAAACAAAACAAAACAAAAAACAAACAACCAAGCCTGATACGGAGTATATTATAAATTAATAGTACTCAGCTAGGATCACTTTAAAATCCTTTAAAATAATATTTTCTTAATCAGTACAAGGGAAGTTATATTGAAAGATATGCATGGGGAGATTTCTTTTTTTAATTATAGCTCAGAAATAAAATTGCAAAAGAGCAGCCAGGCAGTGGTGGTGCGCACCTTCAATCTCAGCACTCAGGAGGCAGAAGCAGGAGGACCTCTGTGAGTTTGAGGTCAGCCTGATCCAGGACAGCCAGGACTGTTACACAGGGAAACCCTGTCTTGGAACACCAAAAAATTTTTACAAAAAAGCAGCGTTTTACAAAAATGCCTCTATTTTTCAAGGGGTCTGCGATGAGTCAATAGGTAAAGTCAAGCCTGAGGACCTGAGTTTGATCCCTGGGTCCACATGGTGAAGAGAACTGACTGTTGTTCTGACATCCTATGAGTGCCGTGGGACGTGTGTGCCCACACACACAAACGTAAAAATGAGTCACAGGAAAAGTCGTTTCTTAGAAATGAAGACAAGACAGACTGGCAGCACACACTGGGATGTTCCCGAGTGGCCCTGGCCTGAGATGGGTTTCCTGGCTGATAGTTACAGGGGAGAACTGGGAGACAGACTAATAGTGATCTGTGGAGGAACTTACTGGAAACAGGCCTCGTGATGTCCATTGGTTCTACTTCTTCTTTGACTTTGATCTCAGGAACAGGAGGTCCCAGAACGGTGGAGAGACTGCCACCCACAGGGGCGGACGGTGTTGGTGCAGCAGCAACGGTAGTGCTGGGTGGCGTGACGGGGACTGCTCCAGGAATGGTTGAGAGAGCAATGGCTGGCTGCGATGGAGGACTGGCTGCTGCAATCATGCTTGGAATGGCGGGTGGAGGCTGCTGGGCAGTTGGTGGGACCGCAATGGTAGGCTGTTCGGCATTCTGATTGGATATGGTCTCCAAGGACATTGTGACTGGAGTGGCTAGAGACATATGCACTTCGGGCTTCGGTTTGGCACTGAAACACAAAAAGAGAACAGTATGTAGCAACTGAGACAAAACTATCTTATCTGTTTAATTCTTTCTGTAGAACACACACAACTGAAACTCTACTCTTTAATTGTAGATGCTCACCTTTAAGTTAATTTAGAAGAAAATAACTATTTACCGATGGTATCAGGGATTGAATCTAGGGCCTTAAGCATGCTAAGTATATATTCTAGCACTGAGCTATACTCCAGCTCAGTGGGTTTTTTTTTTTTTTACTAGATGGAGTTTCTCTGTGTAGCTTTGGATAGCAAGTTTTATATGCAGTAATTCAATTCAATTAGAAAACAGTGAACATTCAAAAAGAAATCACTTGGCGTCACATCACTGAACAAGGACTCTAATGTACATATGTATATTGTTGTTGCAGTTTTGTTCTCCGAGACAGGATCTCGCTACGTACTTCTGCCTAGCCTTGAAGTTAAGAGATGCTCTGGCTTCTGCTTCCTAAGTACTGGAATTAAAGGTGTGTGCTATCAAAAAAGGAGCTTTTTCCTTTTAAAACTATAATTATATTCACATTTCCTGCATACCAGATTTTTAAAAAGATTTATTTAGGTACATGTGTGTGTCTATATGTCTGTGCACATGTGTGCAAGTACTTGCAGAGGCCAGAAGAGGGCACTGGATCCCTTGGAGCTGTTATTCAGGCAGTGTGAGTCACCTAACCTGGGTCATGGGAAGGGAACTTGGGTTGTTTGCAAGGGCAGCAAGTACTTTTGACCACCGGGCTATCTCTCAAGCCCTCGTGTGAATTTTCTTACATGCCTATTTTTCATAAAGAGGGAATTTTGCAAGTGGCAAAGTTGCAAAAGATAGAAAAGATGGAGTGCTGGAGGCCCTAGGGTCAATTATTAGTTGCAGATAAACAAACTCCAAAGTGTATATCCTGCTGGCCACTGTTGCACTGATGTGTAATGAAAGCACTAGGGAGGCTGAGGCAGGAAACTCGGAGTTCAAGGTTGGCTTGGGCTACACAGTGAGACCCTATTTTACAATGAGAGGGAAAAAGGAGCAGGGGAGATGCGCAGATACAGAGCACTGGCTGTTCAGGTTTGAGAATCTGACTTCAGATCCCCAGAGTCTGTATAAAGCTGGATGCAGTTAACAGCCACCCGTCACCTCAGCGCCCCCACAATGAGATGAGAAGAAGGGACAGCAGAGTTCCCGGAACCTCAGCAGTCACCTAACAAGGCACATGTCGCCGGGACAAGGAAGAAACGCTGCTTCAAATGCAGTGGAAAGCAAAGACAGAGAGACACCAAGGCTGTCCCTCTGACACTCATGCCCGTGCCTGCCCTCACACACATAAACAAACAAATAAATGTGTGTGTGTGTGTGTATCCTAATCTTCAATTTTATAACAATACTGCAATTTTTGGACAGTTTACTTTTTTTTAACTTTATTTTATGTGTATGAGTGTTCTGTCTGTGTCCACTTGTATGCCTGGTGCTTTCGGTGGCCAGAAGAGGTTGCAGGATCTTCTGGAACTGGGGGTTCGTATGGTTGTGAGCTACTATATGTAGATGCTGGGATGTCTGAGGGTATTGGTTCAGTCCGTAATCCAGCCACAAAACAAAGGGAAAAACAACAACAACAAAACAAACAAAAACCACCCACAAAAACCCAACAACAAAAAACTAATATCCGTGTTACTTTGAAAAAAAAAAATTTTTAGACAATGAAAAAATGTGTTTAAGAAAAGGAAAAAGGGTCTGGAGAGACGGCTCCGTAGTTGAAGAGTGCTTGCTGTTCTTACAGAGGACCTGGGCTCTGCTCCCAACACCCACAGGATAGCACACAGCTGTCTGGAATTCTAGCTCTAGGCCCGCTTCTGGCCTCCAAATGTGCCAGGCATATCTATGGTGTACATCATTCACGAAGACAAACACTACACATAAATCATAACAAAATGAATGTGTTTCCTGTAAAACTGTAATATCTGGTTTGGTATATAGTTCACAGCAGAGCAACTGTCTATCACTCAAAAGGCCATGTGTTCAGTTTCTAACACAGGAAAAAACAAATAAACAAAAACCTACCGCCACTGAAAAGACGTTTTTTTGGTATTGTTTGGGGACAAAGTCTTACTTAGCACTGTTAACTCTGGCTGGTCTAGAACTTGCCATACAGACCAGGCTGGCCTCAAACTCACGAGAGATCCACCTATTCCTACCTCAGTGCTAGGGTTAAAGACGTGTGGCACCAAGCCTGCTCTTAAGCCTTTCTTTACCTTCCGGGTCCTCTCAAGCCACTAAAATAGTGTCAGTCTATCACCCCTTCTCTGGTGGGCCTACTTTCACCCCTGCTCTCTTACGGCTAAAGTACAGGGCCAGAATGCCTGCTTTACTCATTTATTATGCTCTTGTGTCAGTGCTGGGGGTTAAACCTAGGATCTCACACATACCAGTCTAGTGTCAACCACTAAACTATACTCCCAGAGTTAGTGCAATCTTTAAAAAAACATAGGTAGTTTTCCTGCTTTTTATGAGGCTTTCGGTATAATCCCTAACACAATTCACAAAATAAAATAACAAAGTCAGTCGGGTGGCGTGGCGCACGCCTTTAATCCCAGCACTTGGGAGGCAGAGGCAGGCGGATCTCTGTGAGTTCGAGGCCAGCCTGGTCTACCAAGTGAGTTCCAGGAAAGGCACAAAGCTACACAAAGAAACCCTGTCTCGAAAAACCAAAAAAAAAAGTCAAATCATGCGGCCCCTATACTTTAATGTGCTAATGGATTTCTATTTCACCTAGGAAAAAACCAAAGGCTTTGAAATGGAGTGTTGGCTCATAGTAGCTGGCACCTAGGAATTCTGTCTCTGCCTCCTGAGTGCTAGGAATACAGGCATGTATTTTATGTGGACATTGGACATTGAACTCAGGTATTCACGCTTGTGTGACAAGCATTACAATGACTGATGAATCTCCCAAACATTTATAGATGCCTTGTGTCAAATATTTTAGGATCTGGAGACATTGTCTACTAACAAAAACAGGTATGTTTATATTCTCTCAGCCTTATTTCTTTTGCATGTGGAAGACATGGGGAACCTTTCCCCTGCCCCCTCCCCCAAAATCACCAGTGTAAAAATGGAGACAAAAGTGGCAGAATGAACAGGTAGTGATTTACAGGAAGATTAATTCTAGAGCAGAGATTTTAAATAAGTAAAAAAGCATACACAGACACAGGCGCAGGCGCACACACACACACACACACACACACACACACACACACACACACACACACACACACACACATACGTACGTCAGAAAGAAGAAAAAGCAAGGACCAAGACTGGTGGAGGGATGTTAACAGTTGTCACTGTGGACCTTTATGCAGGATTATAAAAATATCTACCATGCAAGGTGAAGCTGTACAAAGTGATTTTCAGCAACTTAAAATAGTGTTTAGGGTCAGGTAGTGACACACACCTTTAATCCCAGCACTCGGGATGGGGAACAGCAAGATTCTGACTTTATACTTTAAATATGTGCACACATACATTACCTCCAACTTTTCATTTTTAAATTTTAATTAATTTAGTTTTATTTTATTTAATTTTATTTTTTAAAAGATACATCTATTTTCCGTTTGTGTGTCAGAAGGTGTCAGTTTCCCTGGAACTGGAGTTAGAGGTGTTTGTAAGCAGTCGATGTGGGTGTTAGGAAGCAAACTCGGATTACTAGAAGAGTAGCAAGGACTCTTAACTGCTGAGTCAATGCTCCAGAACCTATGTATTTTTACATTTCTCATTGATTATTATGGGGGGTACACATGAGTGTCATGGTGCAGGAATCAATTCTCCCTCTACTACGTGGATCATCAGGCTTGACAGGTCATCTTTATGCACGGAGCCTCCTCGCTGACCCTGCCTTTTTATCTTTAAAGTTTTATTAACAGACAGACAAGAACCACCATGTAGGTGCTGGGAACTGAACTTGGACCCTCTGCAAGAGTAGCAGGTGCTTTTAACTGCTGAGACATCCAGCCACACCATCTCCCCTTTTCTGTTTTTTTTTTTTTTTTTTTTTTTTTTTTTTTTTTGTATACAGCAAGTATGACGGGTTTCTTTGGCTACAGCTGTCCCTAAATGGCTTTTCTGAGCTTGATGGGGGAACTAAACCTTTTTTTTTTTTTGTTGTTTTTTTTTTTTTAATATAGACCAACTGGTTTTGAACTCACAAGAGACCCACCTACCTCTGCCTCCTAAATTCTGAGATTCAAGGGGTGCACCACCACAAAGCTCAGCTATATTCTGTTTGTAATTTTAATTATGCAGGAAGTTGAGGTAGTTGTTAGCCACTTATGTGGGTCATGAGAGTCAAACTTGGGTCCTTTGCAAGAGCAGTGTGAGTTCTGAGCAATCTCTCTAGCCCTACCCCCTACCCCTTTTTTTGTTTTTTTTGAGACAGGGTTTCTCTGTGTAGCTAGCCTGGCCTCGAACTCACAGAGATCCACCTGGCTCTGCCTCGAGAGTCCTGGGATTAAAGGCGTGCGCCACCACCGCCCGGCTCCCTTTGTTTTTTTGAGAAAGGATTTTTCACTGAACCTGAAGCTCACTGTTGGCTAGACTGGCTGGCTGGGAAGCTTTGGGGATCCAGTTGCCTCTGTTACTTAGCACCTAGTGCCTGGCTTTTACGTGGCTGCTGCTGATCAGAACTCAGGTGTTCATATTGGTGAAGCAGGCAGTTTACTGACAGCCATCTCTCCTGTCCCATGATCCCATAGAAAAGTAACAAGTGGGTGTTTATTATGAGGCAGGCTGTGTGTTCTGTGCTTTGAACATTTGCTTTAAATACACTAGAATGCTATAAGGTAGTTGCTAGCTATTAGGAGTGTGTTCACTCTATAAATGTACAATGGTAAGTGGCCCAGGTCATGAAGCTGGAAAAGCCATCATATGGAAAGAGGTGCCGCCACCCTTCGACCCTCCCCCCGAAATCATGTGAAGTTGGTCATATTAAACTTTGCTACACGATGATACGTAACTTAAAGTAAGAATGATGATAATGTATAAGCTCACCCTGCAGGCCTAGGTGACCCGGATGCACTCCGCATAGAGCTTTCTACTCGAGGACTAGTCACTTCAGGAGGCTGAGGAGGGAGGAGAGTTTTCCGAACTGCCATTCTGAAAGAAATGAGATAAACCCAGAAAATAGCAGTGCAAGATACATTTGCCAGGCACATCTGCTGAAAATAAACTATTACAACGACAAGGCTTTTTAGTCGTTTCTTTGTTTAGATTTGAGACAAGGTCTCTGTATGCAACCCTGGCTGGTCTGGGAATCACTATGTAGACTTGGTTGGCCTCAACTTTGTTTCTGTCTTTCTGAATGACGGGATATATCAGCATACTCATCAAGTATTACTTTTTTCCTCTTCTCTTGATAGTCTTGTTATTTCTTAATCTTCTGAGGAGTGGGGTCACAGATGTGTGCTACTGCACCAGCTTTAAATGGCTTTTAACAAAATGCAGCAAGTTCTTTCCCCATCCCTAATCACTTTCTGCTATAAACTCCAAGGGGCAACCACATCATGACTATGAGCTGCTTCTAGCATGTGACACCTTCTATCTCTTGTTATTACTAAAATCCATTTTAAGGTGTTCACAATCATTATTATGTAATTATATACTGAGAGAGATAAGAGCAAACTTTTGGAAATCCAGTGAAAAGAACAACCACAGGAAAAAATCAGAGAGCAACTGTGTTTGTTGTGTGACAGAGGTCACATAAGTTCTGGTTGAGAATGTATCCCTGGCTTTAGTGGGACAGATGCCAGAAGTGACTTCCGTATATTTAGTTTGAAAACAGTGGTTGGACCAAGTGCCAGATGAGAATGGGCTTGAGAAAGAATGGCTAGAATTAGAGTCTATCGTTTCCAGTGCCCATTTACTGAGCTACTAACATCTCAAGAGGGTAACCACCAGCCATCCTGTCTCCTGATGAGAGACTAATTATCTCCTTATGAAGCACTCATCCTGGAAGAAGCAATAAATACATACAAAAATTGAATCTAATCAAACTTTTATTTACTATTATGGTTTATGGTTAAAAAAATTACATTGTGTGTGCATACATGTATGTACCATGTGTATGTGTAATGTCATAGGATGCACCTTTAACTGATGAGTCATCTTTCTGACCCTTATTAATCTTACAGACACACGTAACAACTTCCATGAATGCATAGGCTAGAACAAATGAAACACAATTAGGTGTGTTCTGCTGAACTAATGAACACTATGTATACATAAGGCTTAATCTTTGTACATGTAAATTTAACTTTACTTGAGAATAATGTCCTTGTTACTTTTTTGTGCATGGTTGTTTTGCTTGCATGTATGTCTGAGTACAACACACAGGCCTGATACCCTCAGAGGCCATAAGAATGCATTGGATCCCCATTATAGATGGCTGTGAGAGCAGGTCGGTGCTAGGAACTGAACCTGGGTCCTTTGGAAGAGCAGTCAGTACCCTTAGCCACTGAGCCATCTCTCCAGCTCAGGGTAAGCAGGTCTTTGAAAGTGCAATTAACTAAACATCTTAAGTAAGATCATTGTAAGTCCAGGGTCTTTCCTAAATGTAATCACCAGTACCTTAGAAAAGAAAGGAGAATAGGAATTGAGACAGACACAAAGATTAGGGCATTCAATACGGAGAGAGACTACCCAAGAAATGCAAACAAGTACCACCAGGAGCCAGGGCAGAGGGACGACATACACTCCAGAAGGAACCAACACTGCCAATGTCCTGCGGGGAGACTAGAACTGATTGATAATACACATCTGTTGTGTTAAGCCAACAAATTTATGGCCATTATGAAATAGTATGGCCTCTGAGAAAAATCCACAGTGAGGATCAAAAGACCAAATTCTTCTAATAAGCCAACCTCAAAAAATCTGGGTGCGGTAGAATATAACCATGACTCGAGTGCTTGGAAGTCTGAGGCAGGATAGTCATGAGTTCAAGGACAGCCTGGAGCTACGACGACTATTTCTAAAAAACAACAGCAAAAAAACCCAAACCACTATACAAAACAACAAACATCACAAATAACAACAAAATAATAAACAAAAGCTGACAGTGATTTAAATAATACAAAATAAAACAAAATTTGCGATACACCCAAACCACTAGAAATTTGAACAATGACTGGATAGTTGATGTCATTAAGTTGTCTCCCCCCATTTTTTTTAGACAGGGTTTCTCTGTGTAGCTTTGTGCCTTTCCTGGAACTCACTTGGTAGCCCAGGCTGGCCTCGAACTCACAGAGATCCGCCTAGCTCTGCCTCCCGAGTGCTGGGATTAAAGGTGTGCGCCACCACCGCCCGGCGTCTCCCCCCATTTTTAAGTATGTACACCCCAACAGACACATGTGAAATATACACAAATAAAATAACATCATCAAAATTTGCTTCAAAGTAATACGGCAAAAGATAGTTGGTAGAAGCTGGAGATAGCTTAATGGTATAGCCCTTGTCTAGTATATACAAGGCTCTAGATTTAATACTCAGACCACAATAATCAATGCAATCAATCAACTAAACAAGCAGAAAATCCAAATAGCTGGGCATGGTGGTGACACAGACCTGTGACCCTAGCACATGGTAAGTGAAAGCAGGCCTTGGGATTCAAGGCTGTCCTTGGCTAAACAGGGACTCGGAGGTTAGCCTGGCTAGCTTCACACAAGGAACTGGGGAACTAGACAGCTTGGTCTCTAGCAATCACAAACCAAGTGTGGTGGTGCATGCCAACCTTCCAGCACCCAGCCATGGAAGCAGGAGGATCAGAAGTGCAAGGATAGTTTGAAGCTAGCCTTGAATACTATTAAAACATGCTTTAAAGCCGGGCGTTGGTGGCGCATGCCTTTAATCCCAGCACTCGGGAGGCAGAGCCAGGCGGATCTCTGTGAGTTCAAGGCCAGCCTGGGCTACCAAGTGAGCTCCAGGAAAGGTGCAAAGCTACACAGAGAAACCCTGTCTCGAAAAACCAAAAAAAAAAAAAAACATGCTTTATAAGACCATGCTGGCCATAAGTTTACAGAGATCCGCCTGCCTCTGAAACCTGAATGCTGGAATGAAAGACATGCACCACCACACCCGGCCCTACAGTCAACGCTTATACCATTATAAACTTTTCCAAAAGCAAAAGTATCTAAACAAAACAAGCTAAACCATCTACCAAACATTGGCAAGTAAACATCAAAATCAAACCAACCAAACAAAAACTCATGAGATATAACCCTGAATATAACCCTGAAATAATCTAACTTGTAGCAACAAGAGTTGGCAAGGTAAAAAAAAAAAAAAAAAAAAAACCCACAAAAACAAACAAACAAAAAGGTCTTTTCTGCTGCTTAGAGTATAAGCAGCCAGTCTGGCCACTTTGAAAAGTCATGGGCAGATGTACACACAGGAGGTGAGTGTAGACTATAACCATGACCTAGCAATCCTGCTTCAGTACTTAGCAAGGTGTATTCATGTATTAGTCAGAGCTCACATGCAAAAATGTCAGATAATATATGGGCCAGTGGGTCTTCTGAGCATGTGGGAAGGGCTTATCTACAGTGAGTTTCATTGTAGCTCCTGTCCTGAGAACTTTCTCTCAGGCTGGAGGCAGCGTGCTCCACAGGACTCTTGGCTTTGCCTGTGCTCCAAATTTTAGCCTACTCTCCTTAAAAGAACAGACTCCATTTTAACCCCTATTTCTTCTCATCCTCTCCCAAACCATGTAGCTTCAATAAGAATGCCTCTCAACCTTCTGCAAATATCTGGTCTCCTCACAACCAAGGTTGTGACCATGGATCACTGCTTTTCATCTTCAACTTTTATTGCAGCTGAGACCTCTCTGTTTTCACCATCCTGTGTACCTGCAATCTTTAAAAACTGTATTTTTAGGTTTACTCATTTTCTTCTGTGTGTCTGACTGCCCTGCCTGCAGGTGTGTGCACCATATGAATGCCTAATATCCAAGGAGATCAGAAGGCATCAGATTCTCTGAACTATAGTTACAAGCAGGCTGTTAGTTACCATGTTAGCACTGAGAACTGAACCTGACCTCTGCAAGAGCAACAAGTGCTCTGAACTGCTGAGCTACCTCTCTAGTCACTGTAGTCTTTTTCTTTTTAAACACAAGATACTAAGTTCTACACGATTTTTAAGAGAAATTTACACGCGCATGATCACTCTATCTTGCAAACTCTGTCACCTTCTTTTTAAATAATGTGTACATCTGTGTCTGGGGGGGGCGGGGGGGGCTGTGTGTGTGTGACTCTAGGTGTCTATGGATCCCCTGGAATGACAGGCAGCCGAGGACTGTTCTGCATGGGTGCTGGAAACCAAACTCTGAAGAGCAGCGAGTGTGTGCTTTTTTTTTTTTTTTTCCCCTTTGGTGTTTCCAGACAGGGTTTCTCTGTGCAGCCCTGGCTGTCCTGGAACTCACTCTGTAGACAAGGCTGGCCTCGAACTCAGAGATCCCCCTGCCTCTGCCTCCCAAGTGCTTGGATTAAAAGCGTGCACCCCCACTGCCCGATGAGTGTGCGCTGAGCCATCTCCCTAGCTCTGTTTTCTGTTTTATTAGGGTTATTTTACCATGGGCTCAATGGAGCTTTAAAAAAAAATCTTCTTTACAGAGTATTCATAATGAGCAAAGACAATAACTCTGTCTAGGCAGAGAACTACACATTGGAAAGCCCCGCACTGACCCAATGTCCACTGCTGTGTACCTGAAGACTGCACTGACCCACTCCAGCCTTTTGACCCCAGTCTGCTTTTTCAGTGCTGACGCCATCATCTCGGCTCAGCCGGACACTTGCTCTCAAACAGGAGTGCTCACACCCCACTATATTTCAACAGCACGAGGCTTCCCTATGCTGGAAGGCATCTAGAGCACACAAAAATACTGTCCTAAATACTGTCACTGAAGAGCCTTAATATGACCGAAAAACTGCTAGTCCTGAGCAACATTTCATGTTTGGTGAAAAAAAAAAATTTTTAATATATATTGTATGCATATATGGTCCACATTAAGAAAACCCCAAGACATATCCAAAGACTTAATTATAAGGCTAAGTAACAGTTCTAGGATTAGATTGTGTGTGTGTTTTCCCCCTTTTGTCAACTTGGCAAAAGCTAGAGTCATTTAAGAAGATGGAACCTCAACTGAGAAAACATTGCCATGACACTGACCTGTAGGTAAATCTGCATTTTCTTGATTAATGATTGTTATGGAAGGACCCAGTTCACTGTGGGTGGTGGCACCCCTAGGTAGGTCTGGGTATAAGAGTAAGTGTAACAAGCCACAGAGCAAGCCAGAAAGCATATTTCTCTATGGCCTCTGCTTCAGTTCCTGCTTCCAGGCTCCTGCTTTGTGTTCCTCCCTGACTTCTTTCATGATGGACTGTGATGTGTAAGCCAAAGAAACCCTTTCCTTCCCAGGTTGCTTTTGTTGGTCTTTACCACAGCAACAGAGGCAAACTAAGACTTCTAAAGCTAGAGAGAACTCCTAAAGTATACAGTATACAATATGCAACTGAAGCTGTCATCCCCTGACTGGAAGAGTCCTAATGTCGTAGTCTGAGCAGGGTGTAGCTTACCGAGCGATCCTGTGTTTTGGAGGAATTTTTATTTAATTTATTAAAACATGTATGTGTATGAGTACTCTGCCTGCCTGTGTACCACGTGCATGCCTGGTGTCTAGAAGAGGGCATCAGATCTCTGGAACTGTGGTTATAGATGGCTGTCTGTGAATGCTATGTGAGTTCTGGGAACCAACCCCAGGTCCTCTGCAAGGGTAGTAAGTGCTGAGACTGCTGAGTCTTCTCTCTAGACCCTGGAGAAAATCTGAAGTGTAACAGAGATAGAATTAAGTTGTTTTCTGCATTGGATGTAGTAATCTATTCTTTATGCCTATGCCCTTCTGAATCTACTCACCCATCTGTGGCAGGTTTCTTCCGTAGTATGCTTGGCCGGGGAGACGAGCCCTGGGCTGGTGTGTTGGTGCTAGCACTCTGACTGTGAGTCTGGACCACAGTTGTTGCTGTTGGAGCAGCACTGAATGGATTGCTGATAGGGTTGGCTACAATTGTAGCTCCATCTGCCAACACCACTGCTGAAACAGAATAGAGGACAAGAGAAACAGGACAGCTTTATGAAATGCCATCTAAGACAGAAAAAACGTTTAGACCCTGGCATTAGGTAGTCATGATATAAACGCCCCACTACAGAGGATAACAGGAGCTAGAGATGTGGCTCACGTGTCTGGCATGTGCCTAGCATATATGAAGTCTTGGGTTTGATCTCCAGAAAACTCCTGTCCTCAAAAGATAAGAAACAGAAGAAATAGCACAAGGCTCATTGTGCTTGTAGGCACACATTGAGAAAAGTCACCAATACAGATTATAATACCGTTTATCTTTCTAAAAAAATATACTTAGTTCTTTTTACTTTATGTGTACAGATATTTCGCTGGCAAGTATGAATGCTTCAATATTCCAAGTACTGGTATTATGGGTATGTAGTACTTCTCTCTTATCGTTTTGAAAATTCATTAGAAAAACAGTTCATCAATTATTTTAAGCACAATGAATCATTACATTATATATAATGATTACTCTACTAGTATTTTTGTTGTCAACATTAGCAATATTAGGGTAGCATTAAGATTTTACTACTTTACAATACAACTCTGAAGAAATGCAATCTGAATGACAACACTGTAAGGTAATTTTGCTCTTTTTTTTTTTTTTTTGAGCTGAGGACCAAACCCAGGGCCTTATGCTTGCTAGGCAAGCACTCTACCACTGAGCTAAGTCCCCAACCCCCAATTTTGCTCTTTTAACTTTTAAGCTTTTTCTAGAACTCTTCAGCCTAACTGCAAACGCAGATTAGGATAGTCGCACATGCTATTTCTAAGATTTATTTCTATTTTCATTTTATGTGTATAGGTGTTTTGCCTGCATGTATGTCTGTGTACTGTGTGTGTGCATTGTCTGAGGAGACCAAGAGATGGGGGTGGGATCCCCTGGAACTGTAGTTACAGAGCGTTGTTAGTTGCTATATAGGTGCTGGGTGTCAAACCTGGGTCCTCTGGACACACAAGCAGTGCTCATAATTTCTGAGCCATCTCTCGAGCTCCACACATGCTATTTATTTGAGACAGGGTCTCACTATGTAGCCCTGGTTGTCTTGGAACTCACTCTGTAGACCAGGCTGACCTTGAAGTCAAAGAGATCCACCTGCCTCTGCCTCCTGAGTGCTGGGATTAAGGGTGTGTGCCACCTCTCTGGGCTCAGACATCCTATTTTTAATGTGAAGTTATGGGTAAATTCTAAGCAGCTTATCTTACAATGATGAAACTTAACAAAGGAGAAATTACCTGAGGCCACAGAGCCTGAAAGTGGCAGGGCCAAGATTAAAACTCAGGTGTACTTCTTTTCTTCCATGCCGAGAGATAAGTTTATTTGTATGTATAATGTACTTGTGTTACAACTCACTTCTTCCTCTTGTGTGTGCATATACAAAGACAACTTTGACTGGGTTCTCTCTTTCCACTATGTGGGTATTGAGGCTTTGTGATTAGTTCCTGTATCTGCTGAGCATCTGTTCTCCGCTTTCTCTAAAGAGTTAAATTTACCTGAGGTTTTTCCTTCAGGCTGCGGCTGCTGATTACCCATTGTTGCTGGCTGGAGCCCCTGAGTGTTGATTGGGGCTGCTGAGTGGATTCCTTGTGTGCCAATTGGTGCAGGCTGGATCCCTGATGTCCCAATGGGGGCTGGCTGGATTCCTTGTGTACTGATGGGTGCTGGCTGGATCCCCTGGATATGTCGAGCATGGGAAGCATCTACTGTCATCAGCTGCATGGGGTTCAAGTGTACTGTAGATGCTACACCAACGCCAGTCTGAGCTGTGATGGTGGAGTTTGGGGCCTGGGCTGAAACTGGAAATAATGCAGAAGGTCAGCTCTAGTTAAGACATTCTACACGCAAAGATAACATTAAAGTGTAAGGGCTAAATCCTTGTTTCAAGAAACAAAGCACAGGGCTAAGGCATGGATCTGAGCAGAAGAACATTTTTACCTAGCATGTACAAGGCTCAGGGTTCAATCCTTAGCTGCTACTGTACTTGCTACTTAAAACTATGTACTAAGAATTGTTTTTCTTTTCATTAAGTACCCATCTGACAGTCTTACTGCAAATTATCAGGAATACAATAAAATCAAGTTTATAATCCTGTAACACCTATAATCCTAGTTCTTAGGAGGATGAGGCAGGAAGATTGCTGTAAGTTCTAGGCCATCCTTGGATACAGTTTAAGAATCTGTTTTAAGCTGGGCAGTGGTGGTGAACACCTTTAATCCCAGCACTCAGGAGGCAGAGGCAGGCAGATCTCTGTGAGTTTGAGGCCAGCCTGGTCTACAGAGCGAGATCCAGGACAGGCACCAAAACTACACAGAGAAACTCTGTCTCAGAAAATAACAAAAACCAACAACAACAACAAAACAAACAAAAAAAGGGATTCTGTTTTAAAAAAGAAATTAATCTATCAAATTACATATCAACTAGACAACAGTGCTAAAAAAACAAACTTCTAAAGTAATCCATGGGTACCAGGTGAAGAATCTTCATTTTTAACTGATAGAACCACTATTCAAGGCACTTCAAAAATAGATAGTTGATACAAATTTCCAACAGCTTGTACCTACTGGAGATAGAAAATAGCAGGACCCTTTTCCTTACAATGCAAATGTAATTTACTAATTTTATTAAAACCCCAAATAAAAGTAAAGTCCTTATTTGTTGAGGAAAAAATAAATACAAAAGATTATTCTTGGGTTTAAGGATGTATTTCAATAATAGAGCACCTGTCTAGCACATTTAAGGCTGTGTGTTAGACTCTTAGCAACACACACACACACACATGAACGTAAGCACAATTTGAAATAAAAAGAAGTTAAGAAATTATTTTTAATTACGTGTTTCTTTGTGTGGGTATGTGCACACATGTGTGGGTATTCTTGGAGGCCAGAAGCATTGGATTCCATGGAGCTGGAGTTATAGGCAGATGTAGCTGCCTGTTTGACATGGCTCTGGGAATCAAATTTGGGTCCTCTGTAAGAGCAGTCCACTCTTAACCATTAAGCCATTGCTCCAGCCCCACAAGGCAATTCTTATCAGTTATCAGAATAACCAAGAAAGGGTTCCAAGGCTATTAAATATTTTAAGGTGCTTGAAATTTTACACCAGTACTATTCAAATAGGAATACAAAATCACATACACCTTTCAGTTTTCCAGCAGCCACACTGAAAAAGTACAAAGTGGGGCTGGAGAGACAGCTCAGCGGTTGAGAGCACACACGGCTCTTGACGAGGACCTGAGCTGGGTTCCCAGCATCCATGAGATTTGGCTCACATCGACCTGCAAAACAGCTCCAGGGGATCTGACTCTGCCCTGCTCTGGACTCGAGTGCCAGCACTCACACATGTACATGCTACCCCAACATCACACACCATTAAAAACAAAAACAAAAAATAAGTAAACAGGGCTGGAGAGATGGCAGTTTGGTCTCAGCACCATGTTTGGTGACTCAAAACCATCTGTAACTGCAGCTTTAGAAGGGATGGAGCCAGCTTCTGGCCTCCATGGGCACCTGTGCTCACATATACATAATGTCCACACACGGACACACACAATTAAAGAAACATTAAAAAATACCATCTCAGAATGACAAAATAGACAGATCAGAAACCATGCCTGCAACCCCAACAACCAGGAGGCAGAGGGGGAAGGATCAGAACTTCAAGGTCATCTCTTCTACACTGCATGTCAGCCCAAAATACAGAGGATCTTGTTTCAAAAACAGGGGCCATGAGATGGCTCAGGAGTTAAGGGCACCCATGGTCCTGCTTGATTACATAGTTCCACCCCCAGAACCCACCGGGTAGAAGGGAAGCAGCAACTCCCACAGTTACTCTCTGACCCCAGCCCCTACTCTGGGGCCCACGCGTACACTTGCACGAGTGTCTTGTGGTGGTTAGAGGACAACTTGTGGGGGTTCTCTCCCACCCTATGCAGATCCTGGGGGTTAAACTCAGGTCATGAAACTTGGCACAGGTACCCTTAACCACTGAGCCATCTCACCTGCCCAAGGTTTTTTTTGAGACAAGGTTTCGCTCTCTGTAGCTTTGCACCTTTCCTGGAACTCACTCTGTAGCCCAGGCTGGCCTCGAACTCACAGAGATCCGCCTGGCTCTGCCTCCAAGTGCTCTTCTTCCCGAGTGCTGGGATTAAAGGCGTGTGCCACCACCGCCCGGCCTGGTTTTGGCTTTTAAAGGTAGGTTCTTACACATCCCAGGCTGGCCTCCAACTTGCTATGTAGTGGAAGATGACCTTGAACTTTGATTCCCCATGCCCCTCTTCAGTGTTGGGAATGTTGGCATGGATCATCAAGCTCTGTTTATGCTGCTGTGGGCCAAACCCAGAGCCTTCTGCATGCTAGGTAAATGCTCTACCAACTGAGCCACATCCTCAGCCCTAAACTTACTTTTTGGACCGGGTCATGCAAAGTAACCCAGGTAGGCTTGGAAGTTGCTGTGTAAGCCAGGCTAATCTTGAATTTGTGACCCTCCTCCCTCAGTTTCCTGAGTGCTAGAGTTCTATCATATATAATATAACCCCACACCTGGCTCAGTCTGCACAGGCTTTCGGGGGGCGGGAGGAGAAGTTACACAAACGCACAGCTAAACATTCTTTAAGGGCTGGAGAGATGGCTTAGCAGTCAAGAGTGCTTCCTGCTTTATCAGACTCATGGTGGGCAGCTTCCAAATGCTGGCAACTCCAGCTCGAAGGCTCTGACACACCCCTGACTTCTTGGAATTGCACACAGGCTTATATATAAATAAAACAAACTTTACCAAAAAGACTTAATTTTTCTGGATTAGCCGAAAAAAAATCAGTATTTACAAATCAGGCTGTCAAGTTAAACATACCAAGACTAAAATAAAAAAATACAAAGGAGACAAAGCAAATCCCTGTATAATACAACGGTATTTGTAGAAATTATGATACCATTTTAAGGCATAGCAAAATTTACTAGCATGATTATTTTCAGGGTAGAATAAAACCATTCAAATATTACAAGTATGTAACCACCCTTTCACAGATCATAAAAATGGTGATTAAAGTGCTTAATGTTTTACATGTTAGTCTCATCTGAATCTAGAAATTAGCTGGAATCATTTCTCTCTTACTGAAATACTCTGATCAACTTCCTTCTCATCTCTGACAAAAATGACAGTCTTCTTCAAAACGGTGCTCATACCTGGGTACTGTCGGATAGTGGACACAGAACTGGTGATGGGGGTGTAGGTGTGAGCAGCCAGAGGGTATGCAGAGGGCGGGTAAGTCGGCAAAAAGTACTGGAACTGAACAGGAACCGAAGGCCTAGAAATACAGCACAGATTAAACAAAACAAAAGTTATTTTCCTCCATTCAAAGGATCCTATCTCCCAGACTCTCTTGACACTTCACACCACCATACAGCATCTTCCAAACTGTCCCAACCTTACATCAAAGGACACAACCAGGAAACCGTCAACAAGCAAATGACTACTGTTAGTACCCATGTCAATGTGAAGAAAAAGTATGTAATGGATGACTTTTTAAAAAAATGTAGTGATATTTTCTGAGAAAGATAACTACCAAAACAAATGACAAAACCCCAGGAGATGGGGAGATGGGAAGTTTGACATGACCCTGGGTAACGCAGCAAGATCCCATCTCTAACCAATCAATCAACTAACTTACTCAGTATCCAAAAGCCTTTCCTGATTAATCCCACTTGAAATACAGTATATTAGAAATTTAATCAAACATGCATAAAACAAATAAACCTAATTTATAGATACTAATTCAGAGACAAGAAATATGAAATGATGTTTACTTTGTCTTTGGAACTTAATATTGTCTTGATACCAAAAATGGACAGGAAAAGTGTGAGAAAAGATGACAAACAAGGGCTGGAGAGATGGCTCAGAGGTTAAGAGCACTGGCTGTTCTTCCAGAGGTCCTGAGTTCAATTCCCAGCAACCACGTGGTGGCTCACAACCATCTGTAATGAGGTCTAGTGCCCTCTTCTGGCCTGAAGGGACACATGCAAGCAGAACACTGTATACATAAATAAATAAATAAATCTTAAAAAAAAAAGATGACAAACAAACCTTACTCTCTAAAATTAGACAAAAAAAAAAAAAATCTACATAAAACCAAAGTAAGTACAGTGTCAAGTCCACCACAATCAAAGTTACCATAGAAAGAAAAGAATGACTCAGGGACAATTTTTACTCACTTTTTATATCTTTAAAAACCCAAGGAAAGCAACCATTCGAAGTGATTTAAAACATGTTTTAAAACATGTAAAAACCAAACCAAACCAAACCCTACTGGCACACCCTTCCTAAATAAAGGCTTAAAATAGGAATAGAAATTTTGTTCATCACATTGAAGATAGTACAGAATGAAATCTATCAGAAAAATCCCATTTAAGGCAGAAATAAGACAGAGCGCTCACCATCTCTACCAACACTGTATCTGAATTTTATCATTATTTACTTCATGTGTGTGGTTATTTTGTCTGCATGTATACATGTGCACCATGTGCGCACAGTTCCCCGGAACTGGAGTTACAGACGGTTGTGAGCTGCCATGAGTGCTGGGAGCTGAACCCAGATCCTCTAAAAGAGCAGCAGACAATAACTGCTGAGCCATCCACTAACATTATACTGAAAGCTCTGGCTATCCCCGAAAGCAAACAGGTATCTATTGCCTATATACAACAAGCAAACAAGCAATTATGGATGGAATATAAATGTTCACATCGGAAATCCAAAAGAATCCATAAACTTTCAGAGCTAATAAGAGCATTTAGCTAGGTAGATAGACATAAAAGTAATATATAGAATGGAAATGAACTGGGAATGGAAATGAACTGGGGTATCAGCATGTTTTCAAATACTTCCGTTTGTATGGCACTCACTTCTGACTGTTGCTTACTGCAAAGGCAGGAAGGAACAACAATCTACAGCAAAGCCATGCTGATGCTGAAATGTAGGCTTCCAAAGGATCCAAAGGCCCTTGGCAAACACTGCTTCCTGGCTCAATGGATATACAATGTGGTAGAAGATAAAGGAAGGGCTAGCACACCAGCGAGATGTGAAACCCATAGATATGTTCTTAAGAGGAGGCCATTTGAACTCCAAACAAAGGACAGTAATGAACACAACCAAATCCCTATCCTGCTAATTAGTAAATCTAAATTCACAGGCTCAGGCTGACTAAAACTCAAACAAACAGAACTCAAGTAAATAATTGTTGTACAGAGGAAAGCTTCTTCACTTCAGAAGCCAACTGCAAAGTACAGAGGAGCAACAGAAAAGTTATTACTTTGCAAATGTAAGTAATTCAGCCACGAATTATCAAAAATACTACAATGAGGGACTGGAGAGATGGCTCAGAGGTTCAGAGCACTGGCTGCTTTTCCAAAGGTCCTGAGTTCAATTCCCAGCAACCACATGGTGGCCACAACCATCTGTAATGAGATCTGGTGCCCTCTTCTGGCATACAGGGACACATGCAGGCAGAACACTGTATACATAATGAATAAATAAATAAATAAATAAATAAATCCTTAAAAAATACTACAATGAATGAAAATTATTCATAGTTTCAAAGTATTACTTTCACTATGTATCCCTGGCTGTCCTGGAACTCACTCTGTAGATCAGGATGGCCTCAAACTCACCGAGATCCTCCTTCCTTGCCTCCCAAATTCTCCCACCATGCCAGCCTCGGTATTTCATACAGGCTTTAAAGCATCTTTGCCTGAGTTCACTGTTTTCCTGCAGTGTACTGACTTTACATACCACCGAATTCCGAATAAAGTTCCTTGCTATTAAAACAAAACAACAAAGTACTTCCTCATATCATTCACAAAAGAAAAAAGTTTCTTTACAGAATTTGAGTGATGAACAACGGCACCTTCATTAACTAATTAATGTTAACCTAACCAACCACAGGACTGATAGCCAGCATGTACTCTCTGATGGTGGATCACACAACTCCAAAAATGTATAACCTCACTCTAATTGTGAAGAAACAATACAACAAAACCAAACTGCTATTCGTTCTCCAAAATAACTGGCTATCAGTGCCCCGAAACCTAGAAAGGAGGATGGAAAGCCATACTATGGTTTCAGTTATCCATAACTGTTTACAAGAATGCATTGTTTTTAGGATGAACAAATTTAAGTACTTATGGGTAAAGGTTATGATCCTGTAATGCACACTCTTAAAAAATGGTTAAAAAACAAAACAAAATAAAAACAACACAACACAACCAAACCCAGAAACAAAACAGAACTCAACAAAACAAAGAAATGGATATTAGGAGAACATTCACCACAAGGATAAAAGCTTAATAAAAATAGGACATTTTCATAACACTAAAAAAGAAATTGTTCTCAGAGGGGAAAATCTGAAAAAGCAAATAGTGACATGAGAGAGGAGAGGAACTGAGACACTGCCTCCTACCTGTTGTCATTTCGGGTTTCCATGGCCACAGGATTGGGAGAGGCCCGATGGCCCGAGATGGGAATCAGGCTGCTCCTCTCTGAGGGGTAGTCAGGCTGGATCCGAGGGGAAGTGTGTGTGATCTGCTGGGGCACCACCTTAGCTGCAGACAGTAAAACATCAATTCTATCACTACTCACCGGCAAGCCAAACACGGCTAGCAGTGCCCTTAAAATGCCAACCGTTTATTATTATCATTGTATGTACAAGGGAGGGGAGAGGGAGGAAGGGGGAGAGAGCTCACACATCATTTGTATGTGTGGGCGTGTGTACCATGGCACCCATGTGGAGGTCAGAGGACAATTTTGTGAAGTTGGTTCTTTCTTTCCATCTTTACATAGGTTCCAGGGATAAAATTCCAGTCATCAGGTTTGTGTGGCAAGTGCCTTTACAGTTGAGTCATCTTGCCAACCTCAAATGCCAACAGTTTTAAGCCAAGAGTTGGCAGCGGCACACTGTATAACTTGGCACTAGGGAGGCAGAGGCCAGAGGATTTTGAGTTCAAAGCCGGTGAGGTTTACAAAGACCCTATCTCAAAAAACAAAACAAAACTCTTAAACCCAAACAACAAAATAAAAAGAAAGAGCAAGTGAATAATTTCAATGCACTCACTGTTATTTGTCAATGGGGAGTTAAAACAAAAATCTAGTGAGCAGGCCTTTTTCTTTCAGCCTGGCCTTTTGTGGATCCCATTACTAACCTAATAAGGCAAACATCAGAGGTTCAGGAGATTCACTGATGTGCAAGCAAGAGGATCTCTAGAGCTGGCATTAAAAAAATGAGCACGATGGTGTGAGCTTGGAGATGGAAACAGACCTCAGGAGGTAAGAAATGGGAGGATGCCTGGACTCACTGGCCAGCCAGCCCAGCCCACTGGGCAAGCTCCAGGCCAGTAAGAGACCTGTCTCAAAATATAAGTGGATGGCTCCTGTGAAACAACCAATGTTGATTTCTGGTCCCCACAACCTCTTGGGTGTACACATGTATGTACATACGTATGTACAAACACAAACACACACACATATACACACGGGGGTGGGGGGGGGAACCTAGAGAGGGAAAGAGAGAGACAGAAACAGAGACAGAGAGATAAAATTTAAATGAAAATTTCCCATCTGGGCTGACAATGCTCTCTCCAAATAACCACAGACTATCTAGCAGAAACCCCAACATCAGGCATGAGAAGCCCACCCTTGAGTTGTTGGTCAGGGTTGTCTAAGAGACTCCTGAAGTATAAGCTATTGCTGTAGCCACCATGTACTTGAGACACAGGGCCCAGAGGACCCAAGCTGGGTCTGAACTGAAAGCTTCCTCCATGAGGGATCGCTTTCATGGTCTCCATGCAAATTTCCATGAGAAATGCAAAGACTAGGCCTACCCAGATATGACAGCTATGAACCTCAACTAGGACTAGCATGGCCCGACAGCCCTAAGGGTGCAATAATGGCGCACACACCTTACTGTCAGTGGATTTAAAGTCCATTCAACTGGAGGGAAATCATACCTAGTACTATAAATCTAGCCTATTATCTGGGTTAGCGAAGTCATGGATCTCGGAGGAAAACCTACAACCACCACTTAACTAAACCAGTGGTAATCCCCAACTAAATATTTTTTTTTTTTTTTTTTGGTTTTTCGAGACAGGGTTTCTCTGTGTAGCTTTGCGCCTTTCCTGGGACTCACTTGGTAGCCCAGGCTGGCCTCGAACTCACAGAGATCCGCCTGGCTGTGCCTCCCGAGTGCTGGGATTAAAGGCGTGCGCCACCACCGCCCGGCTCCAACTAAATATTTACCCTGATATCCAGGTAAGTATAGTTTTCACCCCTCATCAAAGAAACTTCTCTTTACAACAGACCATCACAGAAAACCACAATCCAGAGCCAATCCAAACACAGAGAACAAGAGACGGCGTGGAGCTCAGTCCGAACAGAACACTGGACAACACCACGCCTGCACTGAGGCTCATGGACCATTGCGGAAAAGGCGGCAGAAGGACTGTGAGAGCCAGAGGAGCTGTGAGCTCGCTGTACGATTCTATCTCCTAAAACTGAGGCCACACCCATGAAGTCTTATCAACTTGACTAAGCAATGACCACACCAGTGGACATGCTCACGTGGAGGAGAAAACTGGTGTGGCAGCAACCCTAGACCGAAAAACTACTGGAAACTGGCCAACACTGAGAGAGGAGAAATGGCCTTCCCCAGGGAAGAGCTCCTGCCCACCACTGTTATCAGTAACCATGTGGTCAGTCGGGCCTGAGACTGTGGACACACAGGTAACATTGTATGGATAGAGCAGACTGTCTGTGTGCACACACACACACACACACATATACACACACACGCACGCGCGCGCGCGCGCGCGCGCACACACACACACTTAACAATTATTTAAAAAAAAAAAAAAAGAGGCCATGAATTTCAAAGAGAGTAAGCAGGGGTGCATGGGAGGGGCTGGAAGGAGAAAAGGGAAGGAGAAAATGATGTAATTTTAATTTCAAAACAAAAAAATTATTAAAAGACAATAGATGGGGGCTGGAGAGATGGCTCAGCTCTCCCAGAGGACCTGGGTTTGATTCCCAGCACCCAGAAGGCAGCTCACAACTGTCTGTAACTCCAGTCCCTGGGACTCTGATGACAATGCACATAAAATAAAGTTAAATAAATAATATACTATTAAAAAAAGACAATAGATGCAGAAGCAAACTAAACTGGTTATGATACTATAGAAAAGAAAAACTAATCTGTCATCAGTGATTTCAGTAACGCCAATTAGAATAAAAAAATAATAAAAATAAAAATCTACTTCTGGAGGGGAGATGGCTCAGATGGTAAAGGACTTGCTGTGATGCGCGGGGACTGAGTTTAACTCTCCAGGAACCGGGTAAAAAGGTGAGAGGAGCACTGTGTGCCTGTAGTTCCAGCCCCGGAAAGACAAGGGACAGGCAAATTCCGGGGCTCACTGGCCAGTTAGCCGAGCCAAGTTAGAGAGCTCCAGGTTCTGTGGTAGACACTGTCTCAAAAAAATGAGGTGGTACGCACGAATATTGAACACACACACACACACACACACCCTAAGAAAACAAATAAAAGTCAAATTCAGAGCTGCTCTGAAAATCAACAATATGAAAACACTCCTGCCACCTTTGACATGAAGGCCTGGTCACATGGGCTGAAAACTCCTCATAGACTTTTGTGTGAAAACAAACAACACTTACCCACTGGGATGTTTGAGGTGGTCACAGCAGTGGCATGGGATGAATGGGAGGGCATTGTCATGGTAACAATTGTACTCGTGGGAGCTTGTGTGTGCGACACAGATCCTGCAAAGAGGGTAGAAAGGAGGAAATCTCTAACAACAGTCTCTGTACACAGCACAGACTCTTCAAACGCTGGGAAAGCTCTCGGGGAAGCTGCGAGTTTTCCCTGAAGGTGAAAAGTGAGAAGTGAACTCACCACTCCTCTTCCTTTCTGTCTGGCTCAGAGGGCAACGTCACTGACTTACCGGCTGTGGTTGCTGAAGGAAGGGTGTTGGTTGCCAAAATAGGTGCTACTGTAGCTGCAGCCACTGGGGTGCCAGTACTAAAGATGGTTTTCTGTGGGGGGACCCGGAACACAGTTACACACAAGAACAACTCCCCACTCTCCTGTCTAAGAATGACTGATTTCACATGCCAGGCTTTTGAACAAGTCGGCACGAGTCTAGTCTGTCCCAAAGAATGCCCCGGTGGCTCTTCACCCTTTTTACCTGGGCCATTGTATGGAGCTGCTGTTTCGGTGTCCCTAACGCAGGGTGAGAAGGTAGTGTGATTCTCGTCGTCACATCGCGAGACTGTGCAGGACGCTGGATACTAATGGCTGCCGATGGCGGATGCTGGATAGATAAAGTGGGCCGACTGTGGGGAGAGAAGGTAGCACGTGACTTACAAGTTCTCCAGACACAAGGAAGGTAGTCAAGGTATCCTGTCCTTATGATCATATAAATTTTACTTTTTCCATAGTTCTGTGGAATTGACAGTTAAAACAATGTCCAGTCTTCAATTCTACCAATGAAATAAATGGCCCTGGGGGGGAGGGTTCTCTCTTGTGGTTGCCATCTTGCTTCAAAAAGTAGTAATACATACCAAACAATTTATAAATTAGTTCTTAGTCCATGATGCAGTTTACACATTTGACCAATTTTCACACATGTATTTATTTGCATATGTAGGCACACACATGCTACAGACCATGTGTGGAGGTCAGAAGACACCATGAAGTCGTTTTTTCCCTTCTGTTAGGTGGGTTCTGGGACTGAGCTAAAGTTATCAGGCTTAAAGGAGAGCAACTTCTCCTGAGCCACCTTTCTAGCCCACTATCTCCCCCCTCCCCCAGTGTTGAAAGGAACCGAACCGAGGGGCTCTTGAATATGCTGGGAAGGCTCTACCAATACCTAGGTCTGAGGTCCTTGCTCTTTTGAGACAGGGTTTACTTTGTAACCCAGACTGGCCTTGAACTTGAGATCTTTGCCTTCTAAGTTCCAGGACTTTGGATGTACTCTATACTACTTAGTGATATTTGAGTGAATAGGGTTATAACAATCACACTTCACTGTGAAAAAATTCAAAGATAGACAGTGAAGTTTTCATATTATGAATGTTTGACAAGTATTCATTCATTCATTCATTCATTCATTCATTCATTCATTCATTCATTCATTCATTTATTATGTATACAGTGTTCTGCCTGCATGTGTCCTTGCAAGCCAGAAGAGGGCACCAGATCTCATTGCAGGTGGTTATGAGCCAACATGTAGTTGCTGGGAATTGAACTCAGGACCTCTGGAAGAGCAGCCAGTGCTCTTAACCACTGAGCCATCTCTCCAGCCCAAGTTTTTTTTTTTTTTAAATTAATTAATTAATTTATTTTATGTGTATAAGTACTCTATCTGCATGTACAACTTTATTCCAGAAGAGGGCATCAGATCCCCGTACAGATGGCTGTGAGCCACCATGTGGGTGCTGGGAATTGAACTCAGGATCTCTGGAAGAACAGACAGTGCTTTTAACTACTGAGCCATCTCCCCAGCCCGACTGACAAGTTTCTTAAGGGAACATTTCAGATAACCATGCCTGGTCTGTGCAGAGACTTGAAGTACTGACCTTTCCCCTAGTTATATAATATCTGTATAGGTGGAAAAATCTTACTAAAATACAAACTTAGTTACAACTGACTAACAAATGAAAGAGATACAGACAGACTGTATGCCAGATTCACTGGTAGCAAGCAACTAAAACTGCAACAAAGCAGAAGACTAAGGCTGACTTCTCCAAGAAAAGGGGATATATGGAAGCCCAGTGGGGTGGGGCATATAATTTTTGAGGCACAAGATTCATAAGGATCATTTGTGCTCAGGAGTTCCAGACCAGTCTGAGAAGCATATTAAGACCCCCTTGACAAACAAAGGAACAAACAAGCACATCAGGAGACTACATAGCTATTGGAAAAGAAAACATTAGACCAATACCTCATAGTCTAACACGATAAATGCTAAAAGAATCGAAGACTTTTGGCATCTAAAAATACACATGAAGAAAAGATGGGAGAATTCTTTTATGAGGAGTTGCAGTGGAGGGACCCACATGGTCGAAGTGGAGAACCAACTCCTTCAAGCTGTCCTCTGGTCTCTATACATGCACGGTGGCACACATGCCCACATATGCACACAGATAATAGATAATTATAAAAAATACCTATTCTCCCTCTCTCACTGATATCATTCTGAGATGATGTCTCACTATGCAGCCCATGTGAGACTCAAATTCCTAGGCTCCTACCTCAGCTTCCCAAGTGCTGAGATCCCAGATGCATACCACCAGCTTCAGCACACTTTGCTTCTAAACAAGTGAAGCAGGGTATGATAGCAGGCATCTGCAACTCTGGCACTTAGAAGGTAGAGGCATGAAGGTCAGGATTTCAAGCCATTTTAGGAATGTGGTCATTTGAGTTAAACACACAAACAAAACAAAAGACATGACTAAGGTTAGGAATATTTACAACCCCAGTAACTTAGGAGCCAAGAGCAGGAGGACAGTGTTTGAAGTTAGCCTTGCACTGTCCTGAAACAAAATGTAACAAAGTTGAAAGTGATGACTCATGGTTATAATCCTGGCACTTGGGAGGCTGAGAGAAGAGGAACACAGCATCCCAGGCCAGCTGCAGCTACAGAGTGGGGGATTCTATCTCAAGCAACAGAAATATTATTGTTCATTTTTAAAAACATGAGGGAGTGTAAACTAGTTTAAGGCAGGTCATTAGAGGTTAGCTATGGAAAATTCTAATTACCCAGTTCCCTGATCAATTTTTGCAATTTATGTTACAGATGGTTTTACACATATGAAAAACAACACAGTTTAAAATGTGCATACATAGGTGGGTGGCGGTGGTGCATGTCTTTAACCTCAGCACTCGGGAGGCAAAGCCAGGTGGATCTCTGTGAGTTCGAGGCCAGCCTGGTCTACAGAGCGAGATCCCGGACAGGCACCAAAACTACATGGAGAAACCCTGTCTTAAAAAAAAAATGTGCGTATACAGTCAGACGGTGGTGGTGCATGCTTTTATCTTAGCACTTGGGAGGGAGAGGCAGGCGGATCTCTCTGAGTTTAAGGCCAGCCTGGTCTACCAAGTGAGTTTCAGTATAATCAGGGCTACACTGAGAAACCCTGTCTCGAAAAACCAAAAATAAAGTAAAATAAAATATGCATACACATCTACTATGACATTAGGTATGATAGTATGGGACTAGACACACTTTGAATCATTTATAAAGGATTGCTATGGTTCTACTAAATATGACAGAATTTTATTTTTTGGAACAGAAAGCTTTCAATGTGTTATATAAAAAAATCACAAAGCACAGCAGGATAAAGAATTAAACATTCTTTAGGGGTAAAGAGGATAAAATAAGAACCTGAATTTGAATGTGTCTGCATACACAAACGCTGGAACGGTATTTTAAAAGCTGTGACAGGTTGCCTTAGGAAGACAGTGTCTTTGGGGACTCAGCTTAGTTGAAGTGCTTGCCTAGCATGTCCAAAGCCCTGGGTTCAATAACAAGCACTGTAAAAACCAGGCATGGTGGTGCATGTCTGTAGTGCCAACACTTGGAAGGTAGAGACAGGAGAATCTCAAGTCCAAGGTCATCCTTGGCTATATGTGTAGGCCAACTTTGGCTGTGAGTCCCCATCTTCAAAAAAACAAAACAAACCCCCAAAAGGTGGGGCTAGAAAGATGGCTCAGTGGTTAAGAGCACTTGCTGCTCTTGCAGAGGACTCTGGTTTGGTTTCTAGCACCTACATGGCAGCTCATAACGGTCTCTACTTGCAGTTCCAGGGGATCCAACACCCTTTCCTAGTCTCCACCTTGTGGAGCACATATTTATGAATACATGCAGGCAAAACACTCATACACATGCTTACAGACTTACAGCTTTGACTTACTACTCGGAAGCTTTGGTATATCATATGATGAAGAGCTCATGTTAACGGTTTAAGGAAGCAACATTTTCAGTGTAAGGAAAATAAATATAAATATGAAATCTAAGAAAGCAAGCCAGGAAATGGCCCAGTTGATAAAGTGTTTGTCTTCCAAGCATGAGGACTTGCGTTCAGGTCCCCAGGGCCCACGTGGCGCTTGGAGGCAGAGACAGGTAGATCCCTGAAAGCACAAAAGGCCAGCTAGCCTGGCCTACATAAAGTTATAGGCTAATGAGAGAGCCTATTTCATGAAACTGAGAAGCTTTTTTTTGTTGTTTTTTTTAAATTTTTTTTGTTTTGTTTTTGAGACAGGGTTTCTCTGTGTAGCTTTGCACCTTTCTTGGAACTCACTCTGTAGACCAGGCTGGCCTCGAACTCACAGAGATCCACCTGCCTCTGCCTCCCGAGTGCTGGGATTAAAGGCGTGTGCCACTACCGCCTGGCGAGAGAGCCTATTTCAAACAAAAGATGTGTGGTGCCTGAGGACTGACAGACAGCCAAGGCCATCTTCTATTGTCTTCTACTCTTATAGGTGGGCACCTACACTCATAGGCACACACATATTTTTTTTCCACCTAAGAAAGGAAAAATTTGTAATATTATTCACTTGAAAATCTTAGTTCACAGAAAAAGCCTCAAAGGAATGCTACCCTAGAAGCAATGAGCCCCCTTAGAATCTAGACCTTAGACCCTAAATACTATTTTCACTAGACCACAGCATGTTTGGAGAAATCGCTATTTTCAAAACCACAGAACAGGGAAAGTGAGTGAGCTTGTGATATCACATATCAAAAAGAAGCCCTCAAAGACTAATGGTCATCCAAAGAAGAGTGGGAAAAACAAGACAGAAAAACAAGGCAGCTCAGAGGAGATTCACTAGTCAACTTCTGGGACAATCAGGGGAAAAAGGATGTGTTGGGTATTTTAAGACAGTCAATAAATATAACATTTAAGTCCTTGGTGAAAACTCCTCTACCAAAAGCATTCAGAGTCATCAAGTGAGGCCATCAAGTAGAAACTGCTGTAGAACTTGACAAGTTGTCTAATATTTTATTATTAAATAATAAGGTGGTCAACTTCCTCCCACCAAGTGGCATAGGAAAGTAAAATTTCCTTTGTTTGTTTTGAGACTGTGTCTAACTATGCAGCTCAGCGGGCTTCCAACATGTTATATAACCTACGCTAGCTTTGAAGTTACTATCCCCCTGCCTCAGCCTCCTGACTGCTTTGCGCTGGTGAAATCAGGTGGCAGTGAAGCAGCATCTGGACTAGTTCAAGGGTTGGGAGCAAAGGGTCTCAGGCTCGCCCAGGAATCGTACCACAGGTCAGTGGAGCACCACAGGGAACATGTGACGCCCCAGGGAAGAGAGATGCTTTCTCATTGAGTGGTCCGTCTTCAACGGGAAAGCTGAAGCAGTGGCCAAGAAAACTAACACAGGACACTGGGTCTTTTAGAAGTTTACTCTTAGCTCAGTGTACTGCCTTGGCTATGAGAAGAACAAACCACAAATGGTTCACTTAGAATAAACAAAATTAAATCAAACAAAGCGAGACATGGGGGCTCACACCAGGACCACGGCTCTTCCAGAGGATTATTAATAGGCATGTCAGGTGGATCACACCTGCTGTAACTCCATCTCCAGTGGTATTGATACCTCTGTAGGCACCCCCACTCATATGCACACACCTACACAGAATCACATATTTAACAATAGTAAAACTAAATCTAAAGTAACTCAAATTCACTAACAAAGAGCCTCTACAATCATTCCTCATTAACCAGACAATGTCTAAGGCTCTGTAGTTTTTCTTAAAAACAGGTTCCTATGTCACCCAGGCTAGTCTCAAACTCCTAGACTCAAGTGATTCCCTCCCTTAACTTTGAGTATCTAAGACAACAGGAGTACACCACAGCACCTGGCTCCTGTCAATCTCTCCATTCTATTAGCATCCCTTTTCAAACACCCAACCATCCCACTGTACCTATGCAATTTGTAATTTGTCTGCAGCAAGAGATACACCTTGTATCTTCAACCCTTTTTGGAATTTAGATTCCCTTCAGTCTAGATGAATTCTCCCCTGAGAACACCCCTCTTCAGTCCTCTGAACACACAACACCTGCACCTTGCACTACTATGTGCTAATGCCAGGCAACAACAATGATCAAGGCCCAAAACAGCTTGTGTCATGGTCAAGAAAGTATGTTGAGATCTTCACTGTTTTACTGTACATACAGTTTTCTGCTCTTACAAAAACATACTGGTTTATTTAGGGAAAAATGAAGATTTTAAGTACTTTCTTATCACTCCTTAGTATATAATATCAAATTAGGATGTCTCTATATTGTGTTAGATTGCTTGACTTGGAAATTATAGTTTGATAACCTCAAGTCTTGGTAAATGGAATTACATATTATTAAAAAGCTTCTATACAGCACAGGAAACATTTGCCGTACTGGGAGTGGGGGGAGGCGGTTGCCAGCTATACTTTAGACATGGTGTTAATATATAGAATATATAAGGAACTACAAATAGCAAACAGCAACTAAAATAAACTTCCAATATATAAATGGGTTAATGGTTTGAACAGACAGTTCTCAAAAGAAGAAACAAATGACTACCAGGGAAATACAAATTAAAACTTGGGAGATTCTGTTTCACGCCAGTCAAAATCACTATCATCAAGAAAACAAATGGACGGCAGGGCGTTGGTGGCGCACACCTTTAATCCCAGTACTCGGGAGGCAGAGGCAGGTGGATCTCTGTGAGTTCGAGGCCAGCCTGGGCTACCAAGTGAGCTCCAGGAAAGGC